ACTGCAATAAACAAAAAATTAAAAAAAAAAAAAAAGAAAAATACCTTTCTCACTGTATTGTGGTTACCAGGGGCAATGGAGTAGGGGGTGGGCACAAGGGGTGAAGGGAGACATATATATGGTGATGGACAAACAAAAATGTACAACCCAAAATTTCACAATGTTATAAACTATTAAAACATCAATAAAAAAATACCTTTCTCACAAGGACATTAAATTGGTTAATGTTTCTGGAAAAGTTCTCCAGGAATGAAAATCAGTACAATGCTAGAAATTCTTGTTTCCTCAGACTATATGTCTATTTCAGGGAAAGCAACGTTAAGAAATTTAAGGTCCTCTTTGCACAGTAAGTGATATGATAGTCCATTTTTTAAAAGAAATTTCGGGCTGCTCGTTATCAGGCACTATAGGGAATTTTAGCTTCATGATACCCATTGGCTTTAATTGACATCTTTTAGGTTTGAAAATTCATAAGTTAATCGAGAGGGGATGATTCTGGAGTAGCTCCACGACACTAGTTTACTTTGAACAGCACATCATGATTATATTTCCACAAAGCCCTGAAATAACATTTTGCTTCTTTGTGGGTATAGCAGATAAATACCCTTGATCTTTCATTCTCATAGAATCCATTTTAGCTGCACTAATGTGCATTAAGAAGTTTCTAACGCGATGGGAAATGTCAGCAAGAATGAAATTAATTGGGTGGTCATCCCTGAAGGTACATATTTAGGGGTTGGTTCTCAGAATTGTCACTTCATCAGCTTGCTTAAAAATAGAGGATTTACTTCACTGCTCGGCTTGAATCAAAAGTAATTTCTTTCCCTCAGGATCCCCTTTCTTTGACAGAAATGATTTTAAGCCAGCTTCCCTATTAACTCACTCTCTTTCTACTGTGACTAAACATGTCTGGATTTTCTTTCTCTATCTTTTGAAAAATATGTAAAAGTACATCAAATGTCTATACAAATTATGGTTCTGCTTAGAATTTTTGTTTGCAAAAGCACTATCTATAGCATGGAATGGGAAGGATATAATCTACGGGATATTAGAAATCAATTAATACTTGATGGTTTTTCTATTCCATATTCCCTGAGCTATCTTTAAGAGTTGATAGGTATAATGTAAAACTTGAGCCTGACATATATCTATTTTATATGGTCCACAGAAATCAGGGTACTAATGTCTTTTCTTTTAGATTGTTGTATTTCAGTATTACACTCCTTTTATGTATCCCATTGTCCAGTATAATTTCATCCCCATATATTTTGGGATTTGAAATTTATATGAGACCTCTTCCTACCTTATCCACTAAATCCTTTCCCAAACACAGACTGCAGGAAAACCCTAAAGACATAGTAAGAAGAATTTAAAACACTTGAATGACATTCTTTATTTATTCAAGCAGATGTATACATAGCAGTAAATTTATTTAAATAGATTTAGTGATCTTCTGCTCAGCACATACTACTTGGATAATAGTCCTAGCCCGTAAGGACTTAAAATCTTTTTGGGAGATAAGTTGTACAAACTCATATGCCGTCAGTGCCCAATCAGTTAACAAATGACCTAGACAGGTGTAAATGATAGGTAGTGGTGAGGACTGTGGAGAACTAGTGATTGCCTGCCTCATTTAAAGGAATTCCAATTGAGCACTTTTTAAAACCATTGTGTTGGGCAAATGAAACATTTTTATGGGAAAAGTCAACCTATTGGGTAGGACTTCGTCTGGGGACAGCCAACTTTTCAGTGTTTCAGTTATCTACTGTATAACAAGCCACCCTACAACTTAGAGGGTTAAAACAACAAGAATTCTTTGTTCTTCTCTCTCGAGGCTCTGGCGGTCACTAGGCTCAGCTGAGTGGTTCTTGCTCATGGTCTTTCATGTAGCTGCAGTCAGATAGTGGTTGGGGCTGGAGTGATGTGGGAGGCTTCCTCTCTGACTTCTAGTGGTTGGTGCTGGCTTTTGGCTGGAAGTCCTGCTATGGCCTCTCCATGTCTACTGGGCTTCTTTATAGCGTGCTGATTGAGCAATAAACTTCCAAGAGCATGTTTCCTGAGAAAGAGAGAGGAAGGGGGGGTGCACGTGTGCGCACCAGGGGGAGGTTGTATCGGCTTTAACTGCCTAGCATTGGAAGTCATGCCATGTCATTTCCACTGCATTTTATGCTTTAGAAGCGAGTCACCAAGGCTAGCACATGATCAAGAGGACAGGAATTTAGACTCCACCTCTTAATGGGAGGAGTGGAAAAAAATTGCAAACACATATTAAAACCAGCACAGGTAGTCTTACATTACAGAATAATGAAACTAAACATATAATAAACTTGGATATAATCAGGGTGCTAGACAGAATATTTAACGGCTGGTTGGTGTGGGCACTGACCAGTAAGAAGAAATAATAGCATCCACAACTGGTAGAATCTACTGGTGCAGCCACTTAATCTCAGCTCTGGGTATAATCAAGGCTCCAAACATGCCCTAGAGTCAGCAAGAGCTCTGGGAGGTCAGGAAAGGTGAGACTGTGTGTCTGAAGTAAGATGTTTTAGGTATTCTTGCCGAAGCTTCAGAGGCCCCATCTGGTTGTTTGATTTCTTTGTTTTATCCACCTTTGTCCATCAGCAGTTAGAAACATTTTCCTTGTGTGGCTCTTACCCTAGTGTTTTGGAAGTTTACTTGTTGCTAAAGGGAGGGGAGTTGGGAGGGATGGGAAGACAAAGGATGAGCTCTAGGAATACACATAATCTTTGGTACATATTATGTTTAACTCCGGTGTCATTTAGAAGCCAAGTTGAGAGGCAGTTGGATTCTCCCCTCTTGACCCAAACAACAGACATACAAATGCTTGGTTCTTTGGGTAGTGTATTAGTTTTCTGTTGTTGCTGTAACAAATGACCACAACCGTAGCAACTCAAAACGACATAAATGTATTATGTCACAGTTCTGTAGGTCAGGAGTGTGGGTTGGCTTGGCTGCTTTTTCAGCTCCGCGTTTCATAAGGCTCAAGTCAAGGTATCAGCTGGCTGGGACCTTAGCAGGAGGCTCTGAATGATCAGGAAGAATCCTCTTCCAAGCTCATTCAAATGTTGGCAGAATCCAGTTCCTTGTGGTTGTAGAACTGAGGTCCCTACTTACTTGCTGACTATCAGCTGGGAGCCACTCTTAGGCTCCTAGAGGTCTCTCTGTGGTCCTTGCACATGGCCCCTACATCTCAGAGCCAGCAACAGCGTGTCAAATCCTTCTCACTTTTGGAATCTCTCTGACTTCCTGTTCTGCCAGCATCTCTTCTGACTTCCTTCTCTGTTGCATCTCTTGGATTCCAGCCAGAGAAGGTTTTCTGCTCTTAAGAGCTCCTGTGATTAGACTGGGCCCACGTGGATAATCCAGGATAATCTTCCTATTTCAAGGTCTTTAAACTTAATTACATCTGCAAAGTCCTTTTTGCCACGTAATGTAACCTGTTCACAGGATCCAGGGATTAGGACGTGGACATCTTGTTTGGGACCATAATTCTACCTAGTACAGGTAGTGACATTTGGTCAATAATGGTGCTTTCCCATCACTTACTTCCTCAGAAAAGTAGGCCAGCCAGTAAGTTTGTGTTAAACATTAGGGCTTATTGAAATACTAATTCTAAATTTGAAGGAAAAGGATATACATTTATGGAAATGGGTTTCATATAGGTTTCAGTTTTGACAAGAGAAGGGACACTCTCTTGATTTCCAGTAATGTCTCCAGTATAATATAATACTTAAGAGAACGGGTTTGAAATCAGACAGACCAGACCTTGTACAAGTATATAATGCTTGTAAGTCTCATTGTCCTCATGTGTGAAATGGGCTAATAATTCCCTATGGGGAAGAACCTCTGAATAGAAAGTGCTTAGGACATAGTAAGTGCTCAGTGAATGTTAGCTCATAATAATAATAATAATAATAATAATAGAATGACATATTCATGCACTTCTTTATAGGTGGGGAGAACGTATGGGTGGACAAACTAGAATCAACACTTGGGTTTCCTGCCAGTTTCATATTAGTCTGACAGAAATTGTTAGTCTGACGTAATTATCCTATTAAACATTAATTAGCGAAATGATTGTTCTCAAAAGGGATTTATACAAGCTTATTTTAAGGAATTTAGCTTAAGACAAATTGCTTGGTTTTAATCATAAAGGCACAGTGGCTGAAACTCACAGCCATCTAAGTCAGAGGTTGGCAAAGTACAGCTTGTGTGCTAAACTTTGCCTGCTGCCTGTTTTTGTATGGCTCTTGAGCTAAGAATGATTTTTAGAGATAAATGTTTGCCATTGATTTTATGATGGGAAGCACTAACTTTGAACCCCAATTAAACAAAATGTTATCCTGCCCCCAAAGAATTCCATTCTTCTCATTAATAGGCCTGTATTATAAAACATTGTACTCAATTATTATTATTTTTTGAATTTTGTCAATAAAAATTGAACATTTTCTCTCACTGTACAAATACCTATATAGCATCCTTGATTTTGCCTCTTTGCCTGCAAAATGCCTAAAGGTTTATGATATGACTCTTCACAGAAAAAAATTTTGCTGAACCCAGATCTAAGTAACCTACTATGCTCTTAAAATGGAGTGTAGACTCTTCATAGCTGGAAGGTCCTCTCAAGATCTCCTAATGCAATACCTTAATTTTATAGCTAAAGCTAAACCCCAGGAAGGTAGGCAACTGTTCCAACACAACCCAGCTAGTTTCTGATAGAGGCAGGATGAGTCGTTTGATCTTTTGGTGCTTAAATCAGTAAACTTCCACCAGAGTAGGCAGATCCTCTGGGTAGCATGGGTGTACTTTGTTTCTCTTTACATGGACCTCTGTATTGTCATCAATCCAAAACCTCTTAATGAACAGGTCAGAGGTGAAGCAGCATAGAAACTCAGCTGTCCCATGGACCCATTGAACAGGGCCTGGCAAACAAGCTTGTTGCTGTGTTTCCATCTGCAGGGAGAGCCCTTTAGCTTCTAGAATTTCTCATTAAAGCTGTTTCAGAGCTTTTTCCAGTAAGTTAGTAACAGCAAATAACCAGGCATGCTAATATAGTCTCGTTGAACTATGTTCAATTCAGGATGAGATTGTTCATTGATCAGAGCAATAGCCTTAAACTGAGGTGATAATTTCCCCACACGCCCCATGTCCCCACTGTTCCCTGGTTATTTGCTAATAAATCCCAACACATTGTGTTTGTTGCTGCCCTCCTGCCTGGATAGTGATGATCACTTGGTGGTGTTTGTTTCCCTTTCTACAGGTGGTTTACAAATCCAACGACTGTCAACGCCTTCTACAGTGCATCCACCAACCAGATCCGTGAGTACTTGGCTTCTGGTCTCCTTGTTAATCTGGTAGAAGATGGAGGGAACTTTCCCATTACCATGATTTCCCATGACCGGGTAGGGCACTCTTTATTTTCCCCCAAAAGTGATCAGGTATGTTGGTGAAGGTAGTTTGTTTCCCTACACATATGCCCAATTTTCCTCACTCCCTTTACCTTTTAAGTTTTTTTTTAAAGCTTTATATCACCATTGAGTAAAAAAAAAAAAAAATCAACTACAATAGATAAAATTACAATGAAGTTGGCCATGAAAAGGAGCAAGCTTCCACTTTCCTCTCATAATGATCTTACTGATTTTATCCATATCATTTTGTTTATTTCTAGGATTGATGGGAAAAACAGGCAAGTAAATGGGCAGATTGTAGAATTGAGGGAACTATCTGTATATAAGAAAAGTTTGGAAATGTTCTAATTAACACTAGGATGTAAAGCCTTGAGTTTCTTGTATTTACATGTTTTGGGTACATGTAATTATAAATGCCATGGTAAGTTTAAAAAATTATTAAAAATCAGATGGGCACAAATTAAGAATCAGACAGTGCCAAGCATTGGCACCAGGGACACATACTCACTGCTAGTGGAAATGTAAAATGGTTCACCCGCTTTGCAGAGCAATTTGGCAACACCTAGAAAAGCCAAAGATGTGCATGCGTATCTGTGACCATCATCTGCACTCTTAGCATGTATCCCAGTGCTGTGATTCTCGAAGTGTGGTCCAACACTTTGAGAATCACACTTTGAGATGCTGTGGAGCAACAGCATCATGGGGGAACTTGTTAGAAATGCAAATTCTTGGGTCCCACCTTAGACCTGTTGTTCACAAACCCTGGACATGGGGCTCAGAAATCTGTTTTATTAAGCCCTCCAGGTGACTCTAACATAGTTCGAGAACCACTGCCCTAGAGAAGTCTCGTGTAGGGAGGCCCATATGAGAATGCTCATAGCAGGAAAAGGGGAATAACCTGTATGTCCTTCTGCTGGAAAATGAGTTAGATGTGGCATGTTCACACAAAGGAATGCCATATAGCCGTGAACAATGAGCGACCTAGAGTGACATGTAATAACATGGATGAAGTTCACAAATATTAGGTTGTGTGGGGAAAAAAACAACTTGAGAGAATATATTGAGTATGATACCATATAAAGAAAATTGAAAAGCATGCAGAACAATTCTATATATTGCCTAGAGGTACATTCATATGTAGTAAAAGTGTGAAGACTCTCACGAGAATGACAAACACCTAGTTCAGGTTGGTGGTGACCTGTTGTGGGGAGGGCGGGCTGCTCCTGCTCAAGCCCTTGCTGGTTTCTCAGCCCCTCTGCACCTTTTCTCTTCTTCATCTTCACCCCCTTCCTTGGTGATAACATCTAATCTCATGGTTTTAAGCACATCTCTGTGCTGTTTGTTGAAAGCAAGGGATGAAATTTATAAACATTTGCCACCGTTGACAATGCCTACCATCTCCCCGCTGGATGCCTGTAATAGCCTCCTCACTGGTCTCCCTGCTTCTGCCCTCATCCCCCTTCAGTCTATTCTAAATATAATATTGCAGCCATTTTAAGATGTTTTACAGTCATCTCATGTCCCTCCTTTGCTTAGAACCCATTATCAGCTTCCTGTCTGATTCAGAATAAAAGCCAAATTATTTGCAATGGCCCAAGGCCTCTTATCACACTGCCTTTACCCCCGCACTGTTCCAGCCACACTGGCTTCCTTTCTGTTCCTGGAGTATGAGACACTCTTCCCTCCTGGCATGCTCCAGGCTGTGTTTACCTTCAAAAACTTCCCCAAGGGATCTGCCTGGTTTGCGCTCCCACTTCCTTCAAATCTTTGCTTGAATGCCACCTTCTCAGTGAGGTGTCCTGCCTGCCCATTGTAGGTCCTTCATGCTGGCCCTCATCCCGACAGGACTCCCTGGCCAGAGAGGACAGCTGGAAGGCTGTGGCTGCCCACTCCCACCAGGCACATCTCCTTAGAGTCGCCCTCATGTGGCCACTTTTGGGAATGGCAGTCTCTGCAGGGCTTTGGTCTGAGTTATGTACAGAAGGAAAACCAGCAGATGGTGGTAATTTTTGATTTCTACATTAATTTATATAACCAGATAAGTTTTTACATATTTTGAATATTTCTAATGTCACTCCTTACTGTAAAATATTCATTATTGTCATGAAAATACTATTGCTTTCTTTTTTCCCCCCAGCTTTATTGAGGTATAATTGACAAATAAGAATTGTTTATATTTAAAATGTACAACATGATGTTTTGATATAGCTCCAAGATGAGAACTAAGCTGCACGTCTTACAGAGGAACTTATGCTATTTGAGATATTAATTATATCTACTATGTATAATAACATGAATTATATTTATATGATATGAATTATAATTATTTGGAACAACCTGTTGGGCAATAGAAAATTCTTTATCCATTTTAAAAGAAAATGTTTTATTTAATATTTGGTACATGCAAAAGAATATATATAACGTGCTAGAACATATAAAGTAAAGTATATAAGAAGACGTATGATAAAATAAATATATGCCTATGAACCCACCACCCAACCAACAACTGGAACATTCCTGATATCATTGCATCTGTCTGTGCTGCTCAACATAGAGGTAACCACTGTTCTTATTTTTGTGTTAATCATTTTCTTATTTTTTAAAAATAAATTTAAAACCACTTATATATCCCTAAACAATATATTGTTTATTTTTGCTTATTTTTTAGCATAATATAAATGGTATGGTACTGCATGCAATCTTAAGTGCAAAGTGCATGTATACCATGCATCTTTGGTGAGGAAGATTGGCCCTGAGCTAACATCTGTTGCCAATCTTCCTCTTTTTGTTTGAGGAAGATTGTCCCTGAGCTAACATCTGTGCCAATCCTCCTCTATTTTATATGTGGGATGACCCCACAGCATGGCCCGAAGAGCGGTGCGTAAGTCCGTGCCCAGGATCCAAACCTGCGAACCCTGGGCCACCAAAGAGGAGTGCGTGAACTTAACCACTATGCCACTGGGCTGGCCCCAATCAACATGTTTTTAAGATTCATTCATGTAGCATGTAGCAGTAGGTTTTTTCATTTTCACTGCTGTATAATATTCCATTGCATGACTGTACTCCAGATTACTTATCTGTTTTATAGACCTTATCTGTTGACAAACTTATGTGTTTCCTCTCTAGTCTTTTGCTGTTATGAACAGTGTTACTCTGAGTATTCTTGTACATCTCCCCTGAAAAAGTGTTTGGGGTATATACTAGGAGTGGAATTACTGGCTTTGTAGGGTATGCAAACACTCAACTTTACCAGATAACACCAATTGTTTTCCAAAGTACAGGGGTGTTTTCATCAACTCTCATTTTCATCACCTCTTGGCATTAGTAGACTTAATTTTCATCAATCTAGTGAATGTAATAGATCAGCTCTTATGCAAGAAAAGGCATTGAGATAGACTCTTCACTAATGTGTCCACACTCACTTTCCAGTGCCAGTGAATGCTTACTGCTCCTTTGGGGATTTAAGTATGTCTAATAGTAATTCTGCCTCCAGGATTCACCCCTGCTCACACTTTTTCTTGTCTAGGAAGAGCTGATCCTATCAGAGGTTTACTGAAGAAATAGCCATTTCAGGGTGACCTAGTGGTTTCTCAAAAGCTCATGAGCAGAGGGGGTTTGGAATGAACAATTTGAAGCAGTATTTTAATTAAGAGATTCAAGCTGTTTCTGTTTTCCTGATGACCAGTGCTTGCTCTCATTGTAAATTACATTCCCAGGCAAGATGACAAGGAATCCTTTGGGTGACTTTCTTTTCTCTCTCTCCTTTCTGATTTTCTGGACTACAAATTAAGACAGGTGGAGTTCCTTCTTATACATTTCCCCACTGGGTTTCCTGGGACTTCCCCCAGCCCCCGACTGCCTTCTTTTTGCTTCACTGAAGAAGTGAAAAATTGAGGTGATTTTCTAAAATGAACATCTTTATTGATTAGGGGCTGATTCTGACAGCATGTGGCCATCTGTTTAATTGTGTTTCACATCTAAGATGTAACTATACTTAGTAACGTGATGTATGAGAATTTCGTTCAGTTCCCATTATCATTTTCTGATTTATGCCGCTTAAGTCTGCATCCGCCTGCAGTAGAGACTTGTGTAGAAAATAGAAAACCTGTAGGTTTTTTTGCAAATCCATGCCTTTGTGTGAAACCCTATGATTTGTGACCATCTTTCATTGTTAGATTTTTACAAGGTGGTTATAGCTTCTTATTTTTCTACCCCTGTCAAGCTGGGTAGCAATATCTTCAGACACAGAGTGTAATGAGGAATAATAATGATTTAAACCTGCTGTACGAGGAGTTATACTCAGGAGCTGTTGCGGAATTTAATTATATTTGAGGAAAATATATTAAATATAAAAATATAAGAGGAAAACAAGGAGCTGAAGTTATTGGTTCCTAGGCTTGTGCTTCCCTAACTTCGTGATCGCTGCAAAACTGGTCTTCCTGCTTTTAGTGGGGAAACAGTGAGAACCTCGATGGGAGACCTTGAGTGCTACTGCTTTACTTGTATGACCTTGGTCAAGGTATTGCTCCCTCGTGACCCTTATTGTCCTCATCTGCCACATGTTGAGGTTATTTAGCCCACAGAGTTTTTGGTGAGGATTTAATGAGATGAATTTGAAAAGGGCCAGCAGACTACCAAGGTCAGGGTTTGTGTATCTAAAACTGGCCTGTCAGTAGTCCCTGGGAGAGCCAGTCTGTCACAAGAGAAACAGAATATGAAGATTTGGGGGGAAAATATTTTGGATTTTTGCTCTCAAAATATTTCATAAATTAAAACAATATTTTTTGTGTTAAAAAAGTACAACCAATTTGGAGAAGTGTTTGGCAGTTTGTTGATACTCTCCTATGACCCAGAAATTTCACTCTTGATAAGATAAATGGATCCTTATGCCCACCAAAAGACAGGGACACA